AACCTTTTCCACAAATTAAAAAAGTTGGATTTTGCCAAAATATGTTTGAATTGTTACCTTGTTTCGTTTTGTCGCTGTGTGTACATCTGATTGCACTTCTTAACGTTATGACAGGACATGCAGACTGGCAACAACGTCTGAGCGTGGCCGTGACGTCTCATAGACTAGGGTTAGAGTAGCTTCCCTTTGACAAAGGGCAGTTACTCTAGCGGACAGACCGATGGATTGGCGCGAAATGCAAGTGAAAACAATTGTTGTTTTGCGTATATATATGTTGCTTCGCCACTGTATAAGAAACAGATTTCAGTTGGAACTATATTGGCTACTGTCACTGTCCGACTACCACACCACTTACCCTGTGACGTAATAAATATTCATGCGCGCATTCCAGGAAAACTCGCAATTTTTAGGTAATGTTTGTGAGAGAGGGAAAGCGATTTTCAAGCACAGAATTAAAGAATGACATTATATAATAAAGAGGTTATCACGCTTGTGTGTTTGGGAATGGTAAATATCCTGTATTAGGTATAAACACTATGTATTTTGCTCGCCAAGGCTCGCTTAATACAATGTTTATTCCTGATGCAGGATATTTACCATCCCCAAACACACTCGCGTGATAACCTCTACCTACCCGTATTTCGTGTTTTGCAAGCAGTTTCATCCCGTAACATCCTGTACACCCGTATGTAGTGCTTACAAGCAGTTTCATCCCGTAACAACCTGCACAGCCGTATTGTATGTTTACAAGCAGCTTCATCCCATAACATCCCTTACACCCGTATTTCGAGTTTTGCAAGCAGTTTCATCCCGTAACATCCGGAACACCCGTATGTAGTGCTTACAAGCAGTTTCATCCCGTAACAACCTGCACAGCCGTATTGTATGTTTACAAGCAGCTTAACATCCCTTACACCCGTATTTCGAGTTTTGCAAGCAGTTTCATCCCGTAACATCCTGTACACCCGTATGTTGTGTTTACAAGCAGTTTCACCCCGTAACAACCTGCACAGCCGTATTTTATGTTTACAAGCAGTTTCATCCCGTAACATCCCATGCACCCGTATGTTGTGTTTACAAGCAGTTTCAACCCGTTACATCCTGTACATCCGTATTTTATGTTTACAAGCAGTCTCATCCCGTAACATCCTGTACAGCCGTATTTTATGTTTACAAGCAGTTTCAACCCGTACTATCCTGTGCTTTCCGTATTTTATGTTTACAAGCAGTTTCTTCCCGTAACATCCTGTACAGCCGTATTTTATGTTTACAAGCAGTTTCAACCCGTAACATCCTGTGCTTTCCGTATTTTATGTTTACATGCAGTTTCATCCCGTAACATCCTGTACATGCATATTTTGTGTTTACAAGCAGTTTCATCCCGGAACATCCCATACACCCGTATGTAGTGCTTACAAGCAGTTTCTTCCCGTAACAACCTGCACAGCCGTATTGTATGTTTACAAGCAGTTTCATCCCGTAACATCCTGAACACCCGTATTTCGAGTTTTGCAAGCAGTTTCATCCCGTAACATCCTGTACACCCGTATTTTATGTTTACAAGCAGCTTCATCCCGTAACATCCCTTACACCCGTATTTCGAGTTTTGCAAGCAGTTTCATCCCGTAACATCCTGTACACCCGTATGTTGTGTTTACAAGCAGTTTCATCCCGTAACAACCTGCACAGCCGTTTTTTATGTTTACAAGCAGTTTCATCCCGTAACATCCCTTGCACCCGTATGTTGTGTTTACAAGCAGTTTCAAACCGTTACATCCTGTACATCCGTATTTTATGTTTACAAGCAGTTTCATCCCGTAACATCCTGTACAGCCGTATTTTATGTTTACAAGCAGTTTCAACCCGTAACATCCTGTGCTTTCCGTATTTTATGTTTACATGCAGTTTCATCCCGTAACATCCTGTACATGCATATTTTGTGTTTACAAGCAGTTTCATCCCGTAACATCCCATACACCCGTATGTTGTGTTTACAGCAGTTTCATCCCGTAACAACCTGCACAGCCGTATTTTATGTTTACAAGCAATTTCCATCCCGTAACATCCCATGCACCCGTATATTGTGTTTACAAGCAGTTTCAAACCGTAACATCCTGTACATGCGTATTTTATGTATACAAGCAGTTTCATCCCGTAACATCCTGTACAGCCGTATTTTATGTTTACAAGCATTATTAGGTCATTATTAGGAGCCGCTGCTTACATTTCAAGTAAACGTATGTGATAAGTGGCTCTGTTGGCCTGAAGAACAATAAAGGATGGTCATTATCTTTATAATGTGTTCCCAATACGGTCATTATTAGGAGCCGCTGCCTACATTTCAAGTAAATGTATGTGATAAGTGGCTATGTTGGCCTGAAGAACAATAAAGGATGGTCATTATCTTTGTAATGTGTTCCCAAAACGGTCATTATTAGGAGGCGCTGCCTACATTTCAAGTAAACGTATGTGATAAGTGGCTATGTTGGCCTGAAGAACAATAAAGGATGGTCATTATCTTTGTAATGTGTTCCCAATACGGTCATTATTAGGAGGCGCTGCTTACATTTCAAGTAAACGTATGTGATAAGTGGCTATGTTGGCCTGAAGAACAATAAAGGATGGTCATTATCTTTGTAATGTGTTCCCAATACGGTCATTATTAGGAGCCGCTGCTTACATTTCAAGTAAACGTATGTGAAAAGTGGCTATGTTGGCCTGAAGAACAATAAAGGATGGTCATTATCTTTGTAATGTGTTCCCAAAACGGTCATTATTAGGAGGCGCTGCTTACATTTCAAGTAAACGTATGTGATAAGTGGCTATGTTAGCCTGAAGAACAATAAAGGATGGTTATTATCTTTGTAATGTGTTCCCAATACGGTCATTATTAGGAGCCGCTGCTTACATTTCAAGTAAACGTATGTGATAAGTGGCTATGTTGGCCTGAAGAACAATAAAGGATGGTCATTATCTTTGTAATGTGTTCCCAAAACGGTCATTATTAGGAGGCGCTGCTTACATTTCAAGTAAACGTATGTGATAAGTGGCTATGTTAGCCTGAAGAACAATAAAGGATGGTCATTATCTTTGTAATGTGTTCCCAATACGGTCATTATTATCATACAACTATTACTAGAAACTGATCTATCTTACTTTCGGAAAGTTTAAGTTATTTCCGAGTATCCCCTGCTTTTTATAAAGAGTATAATTTAGTACATTCAGTTTTAATGACAGTGCAGGCAAAACGTAGACTGTCTACAGCTATAGCCCCATAGGTTACTGCGGCCTATGGAAATAATGATAATCACATGGCCTTCTTCGGGTATACTATTCTAAAAATGTATATTTCAGCCATAAGACAATTTGAATCATTAAATAAGGACGACCTAGATAATAACAAACAAACACGTGTTAACAAAGAATACTCTCGAGCATCCTATAAGCTCGTGTTTGGCATTTACTGCGGGCATCACTGCCAGCAAACCGGCGATCGATTGATGGATTATAGCTGGCGTTGATGCTACCTGTACTTTAATGCTTGATTTTAATAGTGTAATGTTTTCCACAGTCAACAAAAAGTGCAGGAGAAATAAGATGGGAAGGCGTTGATGCTGCCTGTACTTTAGTGCTTGATTTTAATAGTGTAATGTTTTCCACAGTCAACAAAAAGTGCAGCAGAAATAGGATGGGAAGTCGTTGACAACATGTTCTGCACTTTAGTGCTTGATTTTAAGGGTGAAATGTTTTCCAGAGTCAACTAAAAATTCAGCAGAAATAAGATGGGAAGACGTTGACAACACTTATTCTGTTCTAAGCTGGCCTGCATGAAAGCTTTGCGAGATTTGGAATCTACAAAACAGTTATTTCATAGAGGTGTTTAGATGAGGTGAGGTGATGAGGGGTTTAACGCCGCGTTCAAGATTATTGCATTTATATAGCGACGTGCATGCACGTGTGTGCGTGCGTGCGTGCGTGCGTGGCTGCTTGTGCTCGTTCTGACTAATGGTGATTTTATACTGCTAGCACACTGAGTGAGTGAGTGAGTATGGTTTTACGCCGCTTTTAGCAATATTCCAGCAATATCACGGCGGGGAACACCAGAAATGGGCTTCACACATTGTACCCATGTCGGGAATCGAACCCGGGTCTTCGGCGTGACGAGCGAACGCTTTAACCACTAGGCTACCCGACCGCCCCGCTAGCACACTGAGAAACCATACCGCAGATGAACATGAGCATGAACACTCAGACACAGTATACTGACTCTGAGCCAACCAATCCTTGTTTTAGCCCATTTATGCAGAGCGCCAGGCAGGGTAACAACACGTACCATCTTTTAATGTCTTTTGCTTTGACAAGGCCGGGGTTCGAACCCCTACTTCGCTTTCGAATTGTCACGCTTGCATCCCAAGTACCAAGTTGTTCAACTCCCCATTGTTCTCGGTGCCTTAGGTCTGGTACCTCACAATCTGTTGGGAGAGTATCCGGGTTTGCTGCCAGGAATACAGCCTTTCTGACAATCTGGGCAATGCAGAAGTATGCAGTTGTTGGAGAGTCTTCACATTCTCCGAAACTTCCTAAGTGCGTTTCACTAGGCAGCGCTTCCTGTCTGGGCTGCGTGTAGAGGGGGCAAGGATGCTGAGCTGATGATGAGCCTACCCAGCCTGGCTGTGCCAGAATCACCCAAACCCTCTTTGCTGCATTTTATATTTTAATCTGTAAATAATGATAATAATAACGACGAAGCACAATCGGAACTTTGTTGTTATAATGAATATGATGGATTGCTTAAGTCAGCTTTACCGCAAGATTAAAAACAAACGATGAAAAAATATTATCACCAATGAATGCACACTGGGTGATCATTAGTCTAACGTCAATCAGAAGTTCAATCCAATGAGACAAGCACGCCATCAGTGTAAAAGTGATCAGCAGCCAATCGGGGAAACATGTTAATTATGTAACCATTCTAACCCTGCTGGCAAGGAGCCTGGGTGTGTCCTGGGGACGATACTTGATGCCCGTGATTCACAGGACTTGTAAAGAACATTGCAGGTAGCAGGAGTGACGTTCAGTCGACGAACCAGCAGAAACTACCCGCAGAGAAGATGGCCGGATACTGGACAGTGTGGGCAGCTGCTTTGTACATCGGTATGGCCACTGGTCAGACAATAACTATGACACAATGTAATACTAAGTATGAATTTAGCCGTTCCAATAGCTACTTCCAGGATAAGAAGATCGAGAAAACCATAAGACGACGTGGCAATGCGAATAGTCTGATGGAGTGTTTGTTGTTCTGCAACCGGTTCAGTGTCAATAACTTCTTCTACAACCAGGCCACCCAGGACTGTATCTGCCCCCTGGGTTACCCTAGGGAAGAGACAGCCGCACCTGGTTATATGTATTACAGCACACCAGGTGAGAATTCCAGATATTTCACCTTATATCCAAATTTACGTGATAACAGTGTTGACAGGTAGCATTCTGACGTTCAATACAAATGAACATTTGACTCGGTTCGTTTATTCTGTTATTCTTATGCTGTTTGTATTGCTAATTTAAAAACAGAAGTGCGTTGGTCCAATATTTACTTCTGAGTTAAGCTCATGTTTAGACTCACATATGGATTACCCAGAAATTCAATTCTAGCAGGATTCCCTTGGCATCGCACTTGAGATATGAAGACTCAAGGACAACGTGTGTCAAGGAACAGAGGTAGACATAATGTTTTTATGTCGTTGTAGTAGGGAGGTCTGGACGTTAGAGACACACGTGGCAATCTAAGACAGTATCGACAGCTGAAGTCAGCATCAGTTTAGAGGCCTTCTGATACGCAGATAATACAAACAATTCATGAAAGGATACATATTGATACTGAATTAAGCTATAGTATTTCCTATTGTTGCGGCGACGTATAATCCGCCCGCTCTTGTAGATGACCTGGGCCCTTCTCTCTGACTGACCATGTATAACATGGTATAACATAACTTGGGGCAAGGTCACTGACCCACTTACATGTACATACGTAAAATCCGGCGACGTAAAGGGGTGTTAACTGACATTCATAGATAGTGCCGGAGATTATTGAAGTATTCAACTGATTTGCACTATAACAATATGAATATCGATGATTGATGTTGTTACGAGCCTAAGGGAGATAACTGTCATTTATCTTTAACTTTAGTCTGGTTGTCCGTTGTCTATATTTTATTTTAAAATAAATATTTTCTCTGTCTTTTTTCCGATGATGTTCTGGACTGGATGATAATTTTTTTTTTATTGCAGTTACAGGTAGTTGAACACATGTCATTGATAGAATGAGTGAGTGAGTGAGTGGGTATGGGTTTACACCGCTTTTAGCACTATTCAGACACATATGTGGGGATTAGAATCCGGGACCTACGGTGTGACGAATGAATGCTTTAACCACCAGGCTACCCCACCGCTCCTTTTGATAGAATTAGGCGAGAGTTGTGGTATAAAAGTAATACGAATCGCACCTTCAACGAAATGATCCCTATAGATATCGTGATCCCCTCATGGTGCCCGCCCGTCATTACCGCTTCTTGTTCTCACTTAAACCTCATGATGCTTGCCCGTCATTACTGCCCCTTCTTCTCACTTAACCCTCATGGTGCCTGGCCGCCATTACTGCCCCTTGTTCTCACATTACCCACATGGTGCCTGGCCGTCATTACTGCCCCTTCTTCTCACTTAACCCTCATGGTGCCTGGCCGCCATTACTGCCCCTTGTTCTCACATTACCCACATGGTGCCTGGCTGTCATTACCGCCCCTTGTTCTCACATTACCCACATGGTGCCTGGCCGTCATTACTGCCCCTTCTTCTCACTTAACCCTCATGGTGCCTGGCCGCCATTACTGCCCCTTGTTCTCACATTACCCACATGGTGCCTGGCCGCCATTACTGCCCCTTGTTCTCACATTACCCACATGGTGCCTGGCCGTCATTACTGCCCCTTCTTCTCACTTAACCCTCATGGTGCCTGGCCGCCATTACTGCCCCTTGTTCTCACATTACCCACATGGTGCCTGGCCGTCATTACTGCCCCTTCTTCTCACTTAACCCTCATGGTGCCTGGCCGCCATTACTGCCCCTTGTTCTCACATTACCCACATGGTGCCTGGCCGTCATTACCGCCCCTTCTTCTCACTTAACCCTCATGGTAATTCCCTGTTATTTCTGCCCCTTGTTCTCACTTAACCCTCATGGTGCCTGGCCGTCATTACCGCCCCTTCTTCTCAATTAACCCTCATGGTGCCTGGCTGTCATTACTGCCCGTGGTTCTCACTTATCCCTCATGGTGCCTGGCTGTCATTACTGCCCCTTATTCTCATTTAACACTCATGGTGCCTGGCCGTCATTACCGCCCCTTGTTCTCACTTAACCCTCATGGTGCCTGGCCGTCATCTCTGCCCCTTGTTCTCACTTAACCCTTATCGTGCTTCCCGTCATTACTTCCCTTTGTTCTCACTTAACCCTCATGGTGACGCGCCGTCATTTCTGCCCCTTGTTCTCACTTAATCCGCATGGTGCCTGGCTGTCATTACTGCCCCTTGTTCGCACTTTACCCTCATGATGCCTTGTCGTCATTACTGCCCCTTGTTCTCACTTAACCCTTATAGTGCCTGGCAGTCATTACTGCCCCTTGTTCTCATTTAACCCCTATGGTGCCTGGCCGTCATTACTGCCCCTTGTTCTCACTTAACCCTCATGGTGCCTGGATGTCATTACCGCCCCTTTTTCTCTCTTAACCCTCATGATACCTTGCCGTCATTACTGCCCTTGTTCTCACTTAACCCTCATGATGCCTGGCCGTCATTACTGCCCCTTGTTCTCACTTAACCCTCATGGTGAATGGCTCTCATTACTGCCCCTTCTTCTCACTTATTACTCACGTTGCCTGACCGTCATTACCGCCCCTTGTTCTCACTTAACCCTCATGGTGGATGGCTGTCATTACTGCCCCTTCTTCTCACTTAACCCTCATGGTGAATGGACGTCATTACTGCCCCTTGTTCTCACTTAACACTCATTGTGTCTGACCGTCATTACTGCGTCTTGTTCTCACTTAACCCTCATGGTGCCTGGATGTCATTACTGCCCCTTCTTCTCACTTAACCCTCATGATGCCTTGCCGTCATTACTGCCCCTTGTTCTCACTTAACCCTCATGGTGCCTGGCTGTCATTACTGCCCCTTGTTCTCACTCAACCCTCATGATGCCTGGCTGTCATTACTGCCCCTTGTTGTCACTTAACCCTCATGGTGCTTAGCCGTCATGAAAACCCCTTGTTCTCACTTAACCATCATGGTGCCTGGCCGTCATTACTGCCCCTTGTTCTCACTTAACCCTCATGGTGCCTGGCTGTCATGTCGTCCCTTGTTCTCACTTAACCCTCATGGTTCTTGGCCGTCATGTCTGCCCCTTGTTCTCAATTAACCCTCATGGTGCCTCGCCGTCTTTTCTGCCCTTGTTCTCCTTTAACCCCCATGGTGCCTGGCTGTCATTACCGCCCCTTGTTCTCACTTAACCCTCATGGTGCCTGGATGTCATTACCGCCCCTTGTTCTCCCTTAACCCTCATGATACCTTGCCGTCATTACTGCCCTTGTTCTCATTTAACCCTCAAGTTGCCTGGTTGTCATTACTGCCCCTTTTTCTCACTTAACCCTCATGATGCCTTGCCGTCATTACTGCCCCTTGTTCTCACTTAACCTTCATGGTGCCTGGCTGTCATTACTGCCTCTTGTTCTCACTTAACCTACAAGGTGCCTGGCCGTCATTACCACCCTTTGTTCTCACTTAACCCTCATGGTGGTTCCCAGTCATTACCGCCCCTTGTTCTCACTTAACCCTCATGGTGCCTGGCCGTCATATCTGCCCCTTGTTCTCACTAAACCCTCATGGTGCCTGGTCGTAATTACTGTCCCTTGTTCTCACTTAACACTCATGGTGCCTGGTCTTAATTACTGTCCCTTGTTCTCACTTAACCATCATGGTGCCTCGCGTCATCTCTGCCCCTTGTTCTCCCTTAACCATCATGGTGCCTGGCCGTCATTACTGCCCCTTGTTCTCACTTAACCCCCAAGTTGCCTCGCCGTCATTTCTGACACTTTTTCTCAATTAACCCTCATGGTGCTTGCCCGTCATTCCGCCCCTTGTTCTCACTTAACCCTCATGGTGCCTGGCCGTCATATCTGCCCCTTGTTCTCACTAAACCCTCATGGTGCCTGGTCGTAATTACTGTCCCTTGTTCTCACTTAACACTCATGGTGCCTGGTCTTAATTACTGTCCCTTGTTCTCACTTAACCCTCATGGTGCCTGGTCGTAATTACTGTCCCTTGTTCTCACTTAACCCTCATGGTGCCCGATCGTAATTACTGTTCCTTGTTCTCACTTAACCCTCATGGTGCCTGGCCGTCATCTCTGCCCCTTATTCTCACTTAACCATCATGGTGCCTGGCCGTCATTACTGCCCCTTGTTCTCACTTAACCCTCATGGTGCCTGGCCGTCATGTCTGCCCCTTGTTCTCACTTAACCCTCATGGTTCTTGGCCGTCATGTCTGTCCCTTGTTCTCAATTAACCCTCATGGTGCCTCGCCGTCTTTTCTGCCCCTTGTTCTCCTTTAACCCCCATGGTGCCTGGCTGTCATTACCGCCCCTTGTTCTCACTTAACCCTCATGGTGCCTGGATGTCATTACCGCCCCTTTTTCTCTCTTAACCCTCATGATACCTTGCCGTCATTACTGCCCTTGTTCTCACTTAACCCTCAAGTTGCCTGGTTGTCATTACTGCCCCTTTTTCTCACTTAACCCTCATGATGCCTTGCCGTCATTACTGCCCCTTGTTCTCACTTAACCTTCATGGTGCCTGGCCGTCATTACCACCCTTTGTTCTCACTTAACCCTCATGGTGGTTCCCAGTCATTACCGCCCCTTGTTCTCACTTAACCCTCATGGTGCCTGGCCGTCATATCTGCCCCTTGTTCTCACTAAACCCTCATGGTGCCTGGTCGTAATTACTGTCCCTTGTTCTCACTTAACACTCATGGTGCCTGGTCTTAATTACTGTCCCTTGTTCTCACTTAACCATCATGGTGCCTGGTCGTAATTACTGTCCCTTGTTCTCACTTAACCCTCATGGTGCCTGGTCTTAATTACTGTCCCTTGTTCTCACTTAACCCTCATGGTGCCTGATCGTAATTACTGTTCCTTGTTCTCACTTAACCCTCATGTTGCCTGGCCGTCATCTCTGCCCCTTATTCTCACTTAACCATCATGGTGCCTGGCCGTCACTACTGCCCCTTGTTCTCACTTAACCCTCATGGTGCCTGGCCGTTATCTCTGCCCCTTCTTCTCACGTAACCCTCATGGTGCCTGGCCGTCATTACTG